GCTGAGAGAGAGAGGCAGACGGAATTTAAAAATAGCTCCATGGAGGGGGTGACATTTGGGTTGGACCTTAAGAACCTGGCAAAGCTTGAATTTGAAAAAATGGTTGAACATCTGGCTGAAGAAAATGAAGATGAGCTACAAACATGCAGGTAGCGAGATACGAAGACTGGGGAAACAGTAATATTTTGGATTGAGCATAGGATGTGTTGGAGCCTGGTGGAAGACGAAATTGGGGGAAAAATCGATTGTGGGTGTCTTGAAAAGAAGAGCTTACACTTAATTCGGGAGATAAGTAGTTACTGATAGTTTTTGAGCCCTGAAATAATATGATCAGAGATGATTATCATGGGGAAAAAATACAGTAGCAGGCAAAGCTACTCACTTATTCACTCCTTCATTCAACAGACATGAATTGAATATCTCCTACGTGCCAATCCCTGGATCAACTTATTCCAGTCAGGAGGGTTAAACTAGATAAGTTCATAGTACATAAATTTAAAAAGCAGGTCTAGAAGACTTGAGAACTTACTGAATGCGACAAGTACAGGAAATGGAAGTTGAGCTGCAAGTTTTAGGACTAAAGATAATAGGAGGATGGGGTGGGGGTTTATGTACAGAAAGAGAGAAGCCAGGAAGAAAGATGCTTGAAGGGGCAGCTGGGGCAGGCTCACAGGTGGAGATGGAAACTGAGCTCAAGCAGGAAGTGATGCATACTTGACTCATGCTCTGGACTCCCCTGCAGAGAATACAGCCAGTAGCTGGGGGAACGGGGAGATCCGGCAGAGGACAGAGGAAAGGGAAAGTCCAGGCAGGGAAGAATGCCCATATTAAAAAAGAAAAAAATAAATAAATAAAGGAGCCTTAAGGGGACAGAGGGAAAGCCATCGATGTTTCTTAAACGTTCCAGAAGATGGAAAGGAATGAACCGTGAGAATTTTTAATTTTTAAACCATGTCTGATGGAAGTTTAAAAGTCCCAAAAAGAGGGGGCGCCTGGTCGGCTCAGTCAGAAGAGCATATGACTCTTGATCTCGGTGTCGTGAGTTCGTGCCCCACGTGGTGTGTAGAGATGACTTAAAGAAATAAAACTTTGAAAAAAAATACAAAATAAATCAAAGTTGCCAAAAGAATCCCTCTAAACAAGTTTAAAATGTTACCTATTCACTCAAGAGATGCCACTTCAGTTGGTACAATACTGGGCATTACCCAGAATTTATACAGCACATGTCGGGGGTGGTTTTTCTCCCTGTCTTTTCTCCCAGGAGGGGGCCACCAAATTAAAGCAGTCTTTGTGGGGGCAGGGAGGGAAGGGCTGCAGAGTGAGTGTTCAACCACTCACTGCTCAGAGGTCACCCGTGTCACAAATGCTGTGCCTGCATCTTCCAAGTGTTTCTAGATTTGAAAATAAGTTGAGTTGGTGCATTTTCTCCTTCCCTCTGTCTCTTTCTTTCATGTCTAGTGTTACTAGCTTTTGAACCGTCCTGAAGCAAACATTGACAGGAATGCAAGATTTTTGCATCTTCCCCTCGTGGTGGGGGCCGGAGTGGGGGAGGACGGAACGGAGGCTGAGTCCTAGGCAGAATTAACTCAGCTAACCTGTGTTTGAGGTTGGCAGCGGGAATGGTATTTGGAATTTACCAAGACAGGCTGGAAGTTGAAAAAATTGCAACCCAGGCGCCTCACCTTTCCCCCCCACCAGCTACTTTCCCCCATCCCCTGCCACCTAGGAGTTTATTTACCAAGTCAATTAACAAAAGATAACCTCCCATTGTGCAACCATCAATAAATCAATCGTGTTCATACTATCTTGGAATGTCCCCCACTCTTGACTTTCATATTGTTTACATTAGACACTTGAGAAAGCCAGAGCCCTTGAGTTGGCTTGTTTCTGCGGTAATGGATTCTGGAGGGGCCATTAATATATAGAACTCTCTTGACAAAATATTTCGGTTTTTCTGAGGTTCACCTGCTCTCCGCACATTGGCAGGGCCCGCTCCTTTCTCCCCGCGGCACCATCCTACAGCTCCTGAGTCTGAATTGAATACTGAGGAAGGCAAACACTTCTGAGCAGTAATGGAACAGTCACTTAGGGCACACCTACTTCTTTGTGATTTGAATAATCTATTTCCACCCACCCCAGCCCCCCACTGTCAACAACCCTCAACAATCTAGGGAATCAAATTAATCTTCAATTATGTGAAAGAATTTCAGGAACGAACCGCAGCTCAAGTTACCAAGTAACTTGCTGTCTGAATGCAGGGGCTTTTCAAGATCTTTTTCTCCCTTAGTCATAGAAGGGAAATCTTTCCAACCGGTGATAATCTCGCCATGGGGAATCTTAAAAATTTTGAAAGCTACTTGCAAAATGAATGTAAAAAAAAAAAAAACAAAGGAATCTTTCTACATGACCCCCACCTATATAAAAACCAGGTGAAATATGATCATCAGAAAGTTGGGTTTTCATGTTTGGTTTTTGTTTTGAGGACTTCCTTCTAAATGACATCAAAAATACGTAGGAGAGAGCAGGTTTTCTCAGAGGGGCAGGGACTCCTCCGCCCAGAGATCAAGGTATTTTGCAAAAGCACTGGATAGACAGGGATTTCAAAGGAAGGGGGCAGGGAATGCACCAGTCCCGAAACCTCTGAAGGTTCAGATTTCAGCCCTGGCTGCAGACCTGGGCAAAGTTCACTACTCCCTTTTCACGACATGCTACATACTTTTCAAGTTCCGACTTGCTCCTTAGAGAGGAAAAAATGTGGCCTCTGAGTTCAGGTTGCTAAGGACAAGCGGGGCCAATTTAACCACGCATTCCAATTCCAAAAGCTAGGCCGGTGGTGGTTGTGTTTTCCGCTGTAAATACCAGAAACCCTTGATTCTCCCCACGCTAAACAAATATACTTTTGCTGCAACTTTAAAGCCATCTTTCCTTCACACTGGGAATTCAGTTCTTTCATTCGGTTGCCTTCGCCGTCCGAGTCAGAAGTCTTGAGGACATGGAAGATTGTTCTACTGAGGAGCACATCTTCTTATCAGACCCTTGGCTTCATTTTTCTTTTCCTAATGATGGGTATTTAAAATGCAGAAGCATTGGATAATAAAAGAAAACTTTCATTACACTATGTCATTCCCTTTTTTTTTAACTTTTATTATTATTATTTATTATTATTTTTTTTTACTTTGACCTCAAGATACACATGTCTACTTAGGGCAGTTTTGAAGAGAACGAAGGAAACAGGCAGAACTTGGAAAGAAAAAAACAGATGTCTCACTGGCTATCTTTTGCAGACCCTTCTGTGACCCTGCACTGAATACCTCTAATGGAGATGTGTGATCGTGAAGCCTCCACTGGGATAAACAAATTCTGTCCTGTCAACTAGTTTGACAGCAGAATTCTATATTCTCCTCAAAAAGGACCTTTTCTTTAAATGAATAAAGCATTAACTTAGGTATCTTATACAAGGGGGTAAGAAGCCTTTCCAATTCCATAGATGTACTATGTTTTTTATTAAAGATTTACTTATTTATTTTAGGGGGGAGGGGACAAGGGAGAGAATCCAAGCAGACTCCCTGCTGAGTGCAGAGCTTGAGGAGCTTGAGGGCTCCATCTCACAAGCCCTGAGATCATGACTTGGATGCTCCACCAACTGAGCCACCCAGGCGCCCCTATACTATGTTTTTTAAAAGGAATTTGGGTCAGGGCGCCTGGGTGGCTCAGTTGGTTAAGCGACTGCCTTCGGCTCAGGTCATGATCCTGGAGTCCCTGGATCGAGTCCCGCATCGGGCTCCCTGCTCCGCGGGAAGCCTGCTTCTCCCTCTCCCACTCCCCGTTTGTGTTCCCTCTCTCACTGTGTCTTTCTCTGTCAAATAAATAAATAAAATCTTTTAAAAAATAAAATAAAAGGAATTTGGGTCAATTATCAACATCGTGCATGTCAGTCTGTCATTTTCCATTATACGACAAAAAGCAGAAAGCATTTGCGCTCAAAACCATAGTTGCCAAATCCAAAAAGTTTAGAAAGTCAGTTAGGAGGAAGGCGGTAATCTTTACTCCTAAAATCAGTAACTCTTAGGATATTGTTTTTGTGCAACCTCGGCACTTCCTGTGCTTTAAACCGTGTGGTGATCAAGGTGGAAAATAGTTAAGAGTCCATTCAAATTCTTTCATGCTTCAAAAAATTTATGGCAATGTTTATTAAGTGATATGGAAGTAGGAGAGGTAAGGGGGGTATCCCCATTCCTGTTGTTGTCAAAAGGCTAGGAGCCTCACTCACCAGAAAGCTTTGCATTCCCCCCCTCCACCTTAACTGCTTGGGGATTGCTGTGGTCAGCACCTCCCTTCTTTCCCACTAAGCTTTTGGAGTTACAGAAAGATTGAAACGGAAGTCATGTTTTGAGATCCCAAAAAAGGCATCCCCAGAGTTCCAAAAAATGGACTAGGCTTTAATATGTAATATTTATTAATGTTCGCTGTGAATGTTCAATATAATAGAGACTATTTTTCCAGTTATCGCATATCCTTATGTGGAAATAGTGTCGAAACTCCGCATTTCAGCCATAAATGTTGGGCTCATGCCTCCCAAACACTACTCCATACCAGATCCTGCTTCTAGACAAAGATTAATATGGCCCAATGAAAAGACCACTGGACTGGAAACCATGAGGTTCTCATGAGGTTCTATCTTATCTGAGCCTTGGTTTTCTCATCTAGAAAGGGAATATGTGGCCATAAATGGTCCCCCAGGTCTCTTCTGGTTCTCTTTTGTGATTGCATATTGTGTTTACCACCCACGGACGTGGGGACAATCATTCCAGCCAGTAACAGAGGAAAACAAGGCAAGGGAGATAGACAGCAATAAAGATAAACAGGCTTGGAAACACAAATGTCAGAGAGCAAGTAAACAAAGACAACAATATAGGACAAGAGTTATAACTGGGAGATGAGGAGGGGCCAATGGAGGTCTGCCGTAGCCAACTCTATGTTTATCACTCTCCTCCCAACAGGCAGCAGCAATCATGGTGGCATGGGGCACAGTCACATGGCGTCCCTCGACACCCAGACCTGATCTCACAATACTCCCACAGCTGTCCAGGTACTCAGCATTGCCGAATAGGTGAGTACAGCTCATGGGAAGAATCGTGTCTTTGCTTGATGCTTTTGATGTAACTCATCTCCCATCACAAAGCAAATATGTGGAGAAAAAATTAAAGTAGCATCACTACCATATGGAGAAAAAATTAAAATAGCGTCACTACCAGTCAACACCTACATAAGTCTTTATAGTTCATAAGGTACTCTGAGAGGTAAGTCCAAGATCCAAGACTGGGAAAGATCAAGTAGAAACAAAATACTCTTTTACCTTATTGTGTAGGCTAGCTAACGTGAATGATTAAAATATTGTGCTGTGTCTGTCTTCTTGGATTTCAACAGCAGTTGAGTCTCAGCGTTGAGGCCTCGGGCACTAAATTGAAGAGAACACTGATTGTTAAAACTGGAAAGCATCAAAGCATCTATTAGTTCAGCCTACCATGAAACGTAGGAATTCCTTCAACAAAATTCTCATACATGTCTACCCAGCCTCTCAGGGGTAATAACAGAACAATAATATAAGGATGATAATTATTATGAAAATGACATTTACTTCACACATACCAGACACTGTACTAAGTATATGGAGTACTGATTGTAAATCCGCACTGTTCTTCGGACTTGTAAGATACTAACTTCCTGAGTCTTTACAATGCCTCTAACATTATATATGGATCAATGGAAACAGGAAGGGGTTAAATAACTTGCACTGGGTCACACAGCTGGACAGAGAGGAGCTGGGGAATTGAACGAAGAAACTGGGTCTGGAGCCTGTCCCTTTAGCCCTATGGCACCAGGGGGGACAGGGGAGAGAGATGGGGGAGGACATAGAGGACATTTCAACACAACTTAATAGAAAGATCTTTAGTTCTCTGAGCCAAATCTGCCTCTCTCGGTCTTAGTATTGCCCGCTAGCCTTAAACAGAGTCATAGTTATTCCTTCTTCAGTTTGACAGTGTTTCTATCAGGGGGTGGTAAACTATGGCCTGTTTTTGTATGGGCTGTGAGCTAAGAATGGATTTCCAATACTCATATGGTTGAAAAAAATCGAAAAAAGATTAATACTTCATGACACATGAAAATATATGAAATCCAAGTCTCAGTGTCCACAAATAAAGTTTTATTGGAACACAGCCACATCTCTTCGTTTACACACTATGTATGGCTGCTTTCTACTGGAAGGTCAGAATTAAGTAGTTATAACAAAAACCATATGGCCCAACAAAGTATGAAATAGTTACTGTCTGGCCTGTTACCAAAAACATTTGCTGACCCCTATGTTAGATATTTGAAGGGAGTTCTCATGTCCTTTCTTAAATGTGCTCCTTTATTTTATGGTAAATATCTCAAATCCACTTCCCTCCTCTAACCTCTCATTATCTTAGAAACTCTTCCCTGGACTTTCTCCGATACTACATATTTCATCCTTCTTAAAATAGCACCCAGTGCTAATATTCAAACAATGGAATAGTACTCAGCAGTAAAAAGGAATATACTACCCAGATACCCAACGACATGGATCAATCTCCAAATCTTTTTTTTTTTTTTTTAAGATTTATTTATTTATTTGAGAGAGCGAGAATGAGAGAGAGAGAGAGTACATGAGAGCGGGGAGGGTCAGAGGGAGAAGCAGACTCCCTGCCGAGCAGGGAGCCCGATGCGGGACTCGATCCCGGGACTCCAGGATCATGACCTGAGCCGAAAGCAGTCACTTAACCAACTGAGCCACCCAGGCGCCCCAATCTCCAAATCTTACCTTACCTAAAGTGTTTTTATGGTATGATGGCATGTATATCAAAGTCTAAAACAGACAAAACTAATCTATGGTGAGAAAACAAAACAAACATGAGAATCCCAGGTGTCTATGGGAGAATGGCGCAGGGATGGGCTGGGATAGGCATGAGGGAACTCTCTGGAATGATGGAAATGTTCCAGATTTTGACAGTCAGCTGGGTTACAAAGTTGCATGCATTTGCCAAAATAAATCTAAAGATGCACTTACAATTTGTACATGGCACTGGATCTGTCTCAAAAACAAAATCCTGTCGACAAATACTGAACTCTACTTAATGATCTGCATGCTGAAGTGGTTGGTGGGGAAGGGTATAAACACCTGCAACTTATTTTGAAATGTATCCAGAAATCAACATGAAAACATCAACAGGACAGCATGATCAGATAGAAGAATGGACAGATGATAAGATATGGGACAAAGCAACAACTGACCTCACAACAAGAGGTCAACCTTAATTTCTGCATCGTGTAAATTCCGGGTCTGTAGTTTGTTAGATAAAGATGCATAAAATGAAAGGCCCCAGAACATCCCCAACGCGATGCCTCCAACCAATCCATTTGTGGAAACAACGTCAATCCCACCAGTGAGTTTACACTCTTGCCTCGCGGAGTTCTAGAAAGAAGAGGAATGTGTTTGATCATGGCCGAATTCCTGGCTTTCATAACCTCACCGGTAGGTTGGCATGTATTTCTCACACTACGGTTCACTATCATTTGACAAACAATACGCTCACCACTGTTGCAAGCATCAGATGAGCATGTGCGCATGATAAAAAATTTGAAAAAGTCCTCAAAATATGCAGCCTAATCTCTGGATTAACTGTTTCTTTAAAGGGCCTTGGCAGCGTATAATCTGCAGGCTGATTCTGTTGCTTTCCTGCAAAGCCAATATTATAGCAATAACACAATCATGCTTCAACTACTTAGAGGCCAATTAGCTGGAAAATTCTGCTTTCTGAATGGAAGCTAAGAACCAGGGAAGTAAGCAAGAAAAATCCGAGGGCAGTCAAAGTAGCTGTGAGAGCATCAGGGTCCCAGGCTCATGCAGAAGTTCCTGGAAGTTCCCTGAAGCCAACACCCACCATCCTGTGATAGATACACAGGGACAAAGCTGACAAGCCTGGATTTCCAGCCCCTACCTTAACAGACGTCATACATAGGCGGGCACCGTGAAAGCAGCAAAAATGGGAAGAATTATTAGCCACGAATGAAAACTCAAAACCTGCTATAATTCGGGAGGGTGAATTTATGGGCAAAAGAGGCTTACCTTAATACTACCAATAAAAGAAGAGCTCCACGAGATATGAAAGAGGGTCTTTAAGAATAAAAACAAAAAACAAAACAAACAAACAGAAAAAAAACAAGGAGAGGGGCGCCTGGGTGGCTCAGTTGGTTAAGCGACTGCCTTCGGCTCAGGTCATGATCCTGGAGTCCTGGGATCGAGTCCCGCATCGGGCTCCCTGCTAGGCGGGGAGTCTGCTTCTCCCTCTCCCACTCCCCCTGCTTGTGTTCCCTCTCTCGCTGTGTCTCTCTCTGTCAAATAAATAAATAAAATCTTTAAAAAAAAGAAAAAGAAAAAGAAAAAAAAAAGAAAAGAAAAGAAAAAAACAAGGAGGGGATGTTATAGCCACGTTCAGGAAATGTTGGTCTAATAGTTCAGGCTGAAACATTTCTGTTATGATTCTAGCAACTTCTGAAAAGAACGTTGGTTTTGTTTGGTTTGGTTTTGTCCTTCCTTTTCCCATTGCCTACCTTTTTTTTTTTTTTTTTTTTTTTTTGGCCAAAACTTAGTGATGCTATTTTCTATTCTCATCATAATGATGTCCACCAGTCTGCCCGAATTTTCTGGTCTAGGTGTGGCCTTGATTCTCCCACACCATTCTTTACACAGGTGTTTCCTCTCCTGCCCCCACACTTGATATTCCCTTAACACAGAAATCTGTTTGTACAAATTCCAGGCAACGTTTCTAGCTCCTGAGGACAACTTCCAAATCATCCACATGTTCACTTTCTTCTCCACTTCCTTCCCTTTGTGCTGCCTACTTTGTTTTCCCATCTTTTTCTTCTCCAAACTGCATGCCCAGCATTCTACGCTCAGAAGCCACTCTTCGGCCCCACCTGCCTTCCCTCTTTGTCCCGTGATTTTGCACCTTTTTGGTTGCTCTTGCTCTCCTCTGCCACCTTGACTTTGTATCTTGAATCCCCACTCTGTCCCCTCTGAATCAAAAGCTTGAAACTGAGACCCCCTGAAAGTCTCCATTCCCTTTCCACCCATACAATCCCCACCATCTGATCTTGAACGTGCATTGCCCCTGTGAGTGAGCCCAGCAGTCTGCATGGGGTCAAGGAAGATTCCATTCCTCCCCTTCTCTTGCCAGCCTCTGAGTTTGGGGCTGGGGGACTCCTTGACAGATAGCACACCATCCTGTCGACACTGAATTTCAAGCCAATAGATCTGTGTTCAGTCTTGAGCTCTGCCTCTTATTCATTTTCCCTCACCCTCAGTTTCCAAATCTATAAAATGGCAATAGGTACTCAGGGCCTGGTCTATCTGACACGGTTGGGTAGAGCCAACGAGGCCATGTTTACAGAAACTCTTTGTCGGTTGTAGGATGTGATTGCTTTATTCCTTTGCTTTGAAGTCCTGGGAGTAGAGGCTCATTTTCTTTTTTATTCTTTTTCTCTCTCTCTTTTTTTTAAGATTTTATTTACTTATTTGAGAGAGAGAGAGAGCACAAGTGGGGGAAGCGGCAGGCAGAGGGAGAAGCAGACTCCCTGCTGAACAGGGAGCCTGATGTGGGACTCGATCCCAGGATCCTGGGATCATGACCTGAGCTGAAGGCAGGTTAGGACTGAGCTTAACTGACTGAGCCACCCAGGTGCCCCTTTCTTCTCTATTCTTCATGTCTTCTTGGCCTAACAGGTATCTGCTCCTTCTCCACTTAGGACCACCAAAGTCCCCCGCCGAGATGAAATTATTTTCCAGCACCAATGTTTGTTCAAAACAAGGTTTGTCAGTGGGGAGCCTGAGGGCAAAGTGGTTTAAGTGCAGCCACAGATTCTCTGGCTGAAAACCCGGTCCCATCACTGACTAGAGGTGGGAAATTGGGTATGTCCGCTCAGCTTTAGTTATGTCCTCCTCAGTGTTCTCATCTTTCAAATGGGGATAATAGCGAACATGTGCGGTACGGGAGGCGGCTGGGATGCCGATACTCCAGTGAGACAGCGCCTGGGCCCAGCACCAGCAGTGCCTGGCCCATGGTAAGCCCTCGGTAATGCGCGCCTCTCCGTTACTCGTCATTACCTGCCTTTCCTGTCCTCGCTTTCTCTTCTTAGGGTCCTTTTAGTCTTCATTTCCTTCTGTCTTGCCTCTCTGCCCATCCCTCCCCTGGCAGCGGGCCACCGCTCCCCACACACTGGGTGAAATCTCGGGGGAAGGGTTCAGACTTTGAATCCTCCCCAAAGGTCTGCTCCTCCTCCAGCCCTTGTCTCTGTGACTCCTCCCTCCTCCTCCAGATTCTTTGCTGGCATCCTCCCCGTGTTTTCCCTGTCCTTCTGGTTAGAGAGTATGTCAGCGTGGCAGGATAATTTACTGATATATTAATTTGTGTTTTTATCTCGGCGTTTGCCGGCTCTCTGCTCTACAAAGGAAGCCAGGCCTTTCTGTGCTCCTGCCCCAGGGGGATGGTTTGTGTTGAGAGGCCAAAGCCAAGACACCTGGCTTTTGTTTCCCCAAAGCCCCCACGCTCTGGGAGGAGATCATGCCAAGCGGGAGGAAGAGGGGAGAAGCTTGGGAACTTTGAGAGCAGAACGAGAGGGAGGAAGGGAAAGGGAGAGAGATGTTGATAGCAGGGAAGGGGGCAAAAGCCAGAAGACCAAGTTCCTAGCAGGACCTTGGTGCCCATCTGTAGGTGCTCCCTGGGGAAGGGGCTGGACCATTAGGAAATGGCTTTACCTAGATGCTAGGACCAGGAGCAGGCCACCAGGGTCAGCAAACATTCCAACCACTGTTCCCTGCACCCTCAACGCACCCATGGGCTGCAGAACCACAGAAGGAATGAAGGCTCGTGCAGGCCGGTACAGCGGCACCCAGAGGAGACAGGGATAGAGGAAAACAATAAATCATGGTCACTCACGTCTGCTTGCCCTCTCAGACTATTCTGGGATCCTTACAAGTATTAGGACAGTTGCTTCCCAAGACAACCCCATGCACACGGATCACAGATGAGGAAAAGAAGGCCCAAAGAGGGCGAGCAATTTGTCCAAGATTGCACAGCTAGACGTGGTGAAACCAGGAGTCTAATTCAGGTAGAAATATTAAAAGAGGCCACCACCAAAAAAAAAAAAAATAGAGGCCACCAACGTATTGTAAAATGTTAAGAATGAAATGCTGCAGAGACCAAAAACTAAAAGAAAATAGCAGGTAATCTGAGAGCTAGTAGAAGGGGGACAGAGGCAAGGCCCGGACCTGCTTCTTTTTGAGCAAGGAGCCTCTTTCTGGACATCACTGGTGCTGTGAATCTTGCCAGACTGAACTTTGATGATGGAAATATTGTCTTTATTCAGATCAAGCCGAGGTGCATGTGGTGAGAATATAGAGTCAAGTAGAAGTCATCCGGGATTTAAGTTCATCCCCTTCAGTTGTCCTGCTTCCTAATTTATCCTGTGGACCACACCTGACCATGCCAAGTCTGTCTCTCCTCTGTAAACTCAAGACAAGGAAAATTCCCCACCTCAGCAGTTATAGCCTTTGAGTAGCTGGGCAATAATTAGAAGATTATTATTATTAATTGTTATTACCATTCCAGTGGCTAGTCCTGCTGAGTCCTACAGCCTACCCAGATGCCCTGGTTACTTCTAGTGAGCATCTCTGTATGTCAGACACTGTGCTGGGTGCCGAGGTCTAGTTGGAGAAGAGACACATGAGGGGATCTTTCGGTGCGATGTGTAAGTGCTATGAATGGGATAATCCCAGGATCCCCATGGGGGCCCAGGGCAAGGGCCCCTAAAGAGACTGCAGGGTGGGAATGAGGGCAGGTTTCCTGCAGAAGTTAATGGCCCGAGTCTTTCCAAACAATGGTAACCTCTGCCTCGCAGTGGGAAGTGAGCTGGGAGCCTCCCTACTCCCCCCTTCCACCCCTGTGAAAAGCTCACAGGCTCAAGGACACTCCCAATACTGCTCCAGCAGCTAATTTGAGTTCTGAGCTCTGCATAGCTTGCATCATACTGGGCCACGGACCAAGCCAACAGCGGAGAAGCCAAGACAGCTCAGAGCTGCCGGCGCATTCCATAAACCCAAATTTCCAGTGTTGCCTTGAATAAGATGTGTAAAGGAAACTTTCCACGTGTCAGTTAAGCTTGTTGACCATGTGACATGGAGAGGAAATGTAAATGTGGGATTCTGATTGGCAAAGTTCAAAGCCTCTGATTTTTGATACCCAGATAGAGATCTGTAGGCTAATAAGGGTCATCGACTTCCAGAATCCAGAGGTTGGGTAGAAATGCCTGCTTCGCACATCGGAGGGAAAATATACAGCACTGAGTCACAGTCTTGGGAAAATACGCTGCTTAGTTCCCAGAGCAAAACCTTCACATTCAAGGAGTCCGAGAATGAACTCAACTGTTCTACTTTACCTATAATTTCAAATTCCCCTAATAGCCACTCAGTCTTCAAGGAAAATGATGTGCTTTTGGACCATTTTTCTCCCCCCTAGATGCAGGCGACCGACACGAAGTTGCAACCCTAACCTTGACTTTGAATTGCTTTTCAGCTCCTGTCATTGCAAACTTAGCATAAAACCCTGGTCCCTGTGTTTCCCTGGTCTGTGTTTTGTAGCCGGCGCAAAGATTGCGTCCACGTGTCTATTCTAGGACACTAGAGACTCTAAGTCAGAACACCCCACGTCTAGCCCATATGTCTATTTATTACTGAACTCACTGGGAAAGACAAGCTGAGTTATCATTTAGCCAAGAAAACCTGAGAGGCATTTATGTGCATAACGTACACCAAGGCAGGCTTGAAGAAAACACATGACACAGTCTACGCAAATCCCCTCACCCGCCCGGCAGCAGCTGGAGCCAAATGAATGGTCTCGGCGATGAAGAGGAGCATTCTAGAATGCTTATCTTCTACCCCGCCCCCATCCGGACCCGCGAAGATTACGAATACAATCGTTTGTGACAGATCGCTCCCCAGTCTTCCGCCTTCAACTCTATATGATAAATTCAACACGAAGTGACAATCACAGCAAGTGTTCAGGGCTGTATCTAAAAAAAACTAATTTTACTGAAGTTAGAACTCAATGAACGTGAAAATGTGAATGTACACCCAGGGCATATCTCAAACTTTAATCTCTATGAATGCATAATGGTTATTTATGGCCGGGATGATATTAATATTTTAAAACATTTCAAGAAAGAAGTGCCGTGAGAATTTAAAATTGTATTGTTATGCAAAAATAATAATATTTCAACGGGTCCTCCCCTGTGCTGGTATGTTAATGGAGCAAAGCAAAGGAAAACAGCGGCTTTTTGTTATCCCGGAGGCGGCCAGAGCTAGGCTGCTCTGTGCTTCATGTCTAAAAAAATCACTCCTCTTCCTTTTCTGATTATTTGGGGCTAAAAAAATTTTCGTGGGCTGCTATTGTCTGTTTAAATTAGGTAAATGCAATTAAGACGAGTCAAATATACACAGGCTCCAATGATGGGTAAAATTAAGGTCACCAGTTGCAGCCCTAATCCAGCCGCATTGCTTAATCTCGGCTTTAGCCATTACAAGTGAGCGAATGGTAATGTCTTGCTAGTGGTGGGGTTAATGTAGACTGATTGGGGAACTAGAGATAAATCCTGCAGGCTTGCTTGAAGGGGCAAGTGCTTATACTGACATTTTGAAAAAAGAAAGAAAGAAAGAAAGAAAGAAAGGAAGGAAGGAAGGAAGGAAGGAAGGAAGGAAGGAAGGAAGGAAGGAAGGGAGGGAGGGAGGAAGGAAATCAGGCTCCGTTCCCCAGGACTGGTTCAGAGTCCCTTCCTTGGTTTTCTCTCCACTGAAGCAAAATAACTTTTTTTCTTGTCAATTTTTGTCCCCACCCCCCATCCCCCTCCACTGCCACCCCTCCATCCCCCAGGACCAGAGATCTTTGCACGTGTCATCTGTGGATATTTCTTGCACATTCCAAAAAGGAATGTTCTGTGTCTTAGTTCTCTGAACACAAAAACGCTGGTCTTTTCTTTCATAGATGTGAGGATCACATTTGTATTGCCCATACCATTTTACTCTGGGAAGGAGTTGCTGGAGATAGCCAGTAGAGAGGAAGAGAACATGGGACATATGACAAAAAAAAGGGGGGGGGGGTTGACATTTACAACCAAGGGAGAGGTACAAAATTGCAAAGGTCATCAATGAGTAAACAGATATTAATGGTTAGCCGGATAACTGGAACATAAACAGGTCACATTAATAATTAACACCAGGAAAACTTAGCACTTTCAACCAAGCTCGGGAAAGTAGGTGCCAAGGAAAACCCCCCAGAAGGAGAAAAACCCAATGGGGATTTCTGGTCGCTAGAGAGCGAAAACTTACCGTTCCATGTTTCCATTTCTCAGATTCACACCCCCAAAACAGTTCTGAGATGGTCACAATAAGAGGCAGGATCATGAAGAAAATTTCTGGGTGAAAAATTTACTTGAAAAGTTATACTCAACCTATCACTTACTGTTCCCTTGTCTTCCTGTTGTGGCAGTCTATAAAATTGATCAAGCAATCTACTTTCTCACTAACCTATAAGGGCTCTCTAAAAGTATTAGCTCTCTCAGTTATTATGCCCATATGTTCTATTAAAACTTCTGAATGGAGGGGGTTAAATTTTGCATCTGCTGATTGGCATTTTCCCCTCTTTGGGGGGGTAAGGCCTTTTTTTTAAGGTTCATAGCAAAAATAAGAGGAGGGCATAGAGATTTCCATACATCTCTGCATGTATCCCCCACTGGAGTGGTACATTTGTTACAGCTGATGAACCTACATTGACACATCATTGTCACCCAGAGTTTATGGTTTTTACATTTGTGTTCACTCTTGGTCTTGCACATTCTTTGGGTTTGGAGAATTATGTGATGATATGTATCCATCTTTATAGTATCATATAGAGTATTTTCACTGCCCTACAAATCCTCTGTGCTCTGCCTATTCACCCATCCCTCCAACAGCCACTGATCTCTTTACTCGTTGCTATTAACATTCATGTGTAGTCTTTGGTGTGGACATAAGTTTCACTTTTGTTTTTTTTTTTATTGGGAAATGCCAAGTGAGAGCTATAATAATGAAGGCAAAGGCGTGGGGGGTCAGGGGAACAGACAGTGAGGCTTGGTGAGTGAGATGAACCCCCAGGACCTTGGAAATGAATGCACCTGAGCCCCACAGAGTGCTATCCTTTGAGTCCATGGCATCAATTTTTTAAAATTTTTTAAAGATTTATTTATTTATTAGAGAGGAGAGAGAGAGAGCAGCAAGAAGGGGCAGAGGGAGAGGAAGAGCAAGGGAGAGAAAAAGTCTTAAGCAGACTCCGTGCTGAGCACAGAGCCCAACGCAAGGCTCAATCTCATGACACTGAGATCAGAACCTGAGCCGAAACCAAGAGTCGGACATTTAACCGACTGAGCCACCCTGGCGCCCCACGTTTTTTTTAATTTTTTAAGGAAGCCAGATTTCATGTGAAATTTCTAGATTTCTGGACTTTTAAATGTTGACAACTCATTGAAACCCTCTTCAGGCCAAACAATACCAATTTACTGAAGACCATACTGGCCCACTTTAAATCCCTTATCTAAATTTAAAATAAATAAATAAACAAACAAAAATCCCTGAACATTTACAGAGGAGGAAGAGGGTCTGGATGTACCTTTAAAATATATTACAGTCTCTCTTCTCCTTCAAACACATTGTTCTTTATAAAAATATTTTTTTAAAGAAAACTAATAAAATAAGAAGATAGATTTAATAGAAAACTGGAATATCTGTAAGGACCTAAGCCTTATTCTCAGAACTCTGTGAATAAAAGCCAAATGAGATACTTTTCTGTATGTGGCCTAATGGTTTACAGATGAGTGAGTAGGACTACTTTCAAATATAATGTGAAGAAACCAATTTTTAAATAAATGTGTAGTTTGGCTATCAAGCCCACAGGAGATATTGTGACGTACCCAACCTGAAAATCAAATTATTTAAGGTTGGTTATACTAATAACAGCCTCCAACCAACTGCTAAGGTTGACTATAAAACCAGACTTGCCAAAAGCAGCAAACGAGACAGGTTTGAGAAAAAGTGGAAAGAAAATAAGGTACAGGGCATGTTTATTAGTTAAATGTGAGTTAGCCTTTCATATAAATGACAGAGGCTGGGGCCTTGTTTCTGAACATGTTGTGGAAAGACAGGTGTCGGGCTAAAGGCGTCAGGGTCTGGTCCCTCCCTACTTGACCACATCCCCATGCCCACCATGGTTTCTCTTCACTATTGACAGTTGACCCTATAAGCCATGGTTTTTCACCTCTCCTATCCTCTCTTAGCCTAAAGCCATATCCACATCACCCTCACTTTTGACACAGGCAATTCCTTATTTGTCCCATAAAATTCAGCTAAGTTCAAGTGTCTTCTCTTCCAGAAAACCTCACCTAACCCCTCGCCTCTGTCCAGGATGCCTCTCCGCCGTGTTCCCTAAAGCAACTCTGTCAACCTCTGTCTTAGCACCCACCTCTGTTCTACAATCACGGGTACCACAGGTGGATTTAAAGCCCCACATGGCCATGGCCATGAACTCTTCGAGGAAGGCAGGGGCTACTAAATTCAATCTTGGAACCTCCACCACCTAGCCCTGTACTTGGAAAGCAACACATTCGTGTAGAATGAACGTATAGAGGAATGGAATGAACCGACCCCAGAGCAATAACACTTAGAAAAAAGACTCTGATAAGTAAAATATTCATAAATGAACCTGTTACAGCTTTCTTTCTTGGTCTAAATCTTTGCATGTGTTCACTTCAATGACACCAATGATAGCAAGATTTATTTTGAAGGATCTTAGGCATCTTATCAATCACAATAATAAAAGATCCAAAAGTTCAGTTCTTCAGCTTCCTCATCTGTAAAATGGAGCTGATAACATCTGCCCTGCTTGGCTCAGCAGGTGGTTGAGAAGACTATCTGGAATGTCCTATGGGACCATGTAGGAAAAGATTCACCCTACAAATGATAAAGCCCCAACTGGAATCTGGACTGGGTGGTTGACTATCCTCCACACATCTCTGTCTGACACTTAAAATTCCGTATTGGGGTGCCTGGGTGGCTCAGTCGGTTAAGCATCCAACTCTTGGTTTTGGCTCAGGTCATGAGCATAGGGAGTTGGCTTGAGAGTCTCTCTCTCTCTCCCTCTGTCCCTCCCTGCCCCGCTTGCGCATGCTTGCACATTTGTGCACGCACTCTCTAAAATAAATAAATAAATCTTTATAAATCAATCAATCAATCAATAATTCTCTATGTATTGTCTACCGCCCACTCTGCACGTGAACAAGGATTCTGTCTCTACTCTCAGGATTTTCAGGCTTAGTAGGACACCCAGCACTTAGCAAGTTCTCACTAAATGCTTAAAGTAGCATGGTGTAAGTGACAAACATTATGGTAATTTCTTTCATTCATTCAAACTGTACTAGACAATATTCAACAAGACAGAATATGAAAGCAAAAAAGGAAAATAGAAATTATTGAGAGGCTACCATTTACGGGACCCTCTATACACCTGATTTTACTTTTTAATTGTAACCAAATTATAATTACGCTTGTAATTGTAAGTGAAGCAGAGAACACTGTCCTTGTTTTACATGCGGGAAAATCTGAGTCTCGATGAGCTGGATCCCCACACTGAAGGGTAAACTGTTGTCAACAGGGCTCGAACACAGTACACCACACTGCTTCCCCATGATGAGGCTTCTGTGCTCCAGGAGCTAAGAGTCTCCAGCACATCGGATGTCACAGAGCCAATGACTTCTAGAGGTGAGTGAAAACTCAGGGCGCATCTAGTCCAACTAACAGGTTCAAAGGGAAGTACGTGGCCAACACCACAAAGACTGTAAAAAGACAGTCATGAAAAACGCTGATATGTTTCACATTCACATGTTATGTCTTATTTAAATACTATTTTCATTAAATTTACAAGTATATTTGTAGTTCATAAACGTTTTTTAAATAATTCTACTTTCTTTGATCTCCTATACCTTTATAAAAATAACATGTAGGGCACCTGGGTGGCTCAGATGGTTAAGCGTCTGCCTTCGGCTCAGGTCATGATCCCAGGGTCCTGGGATCGAGTCCCGCATCGGGCTCCCTGCTCTTTGGGAGGCTGCTTCTCCCTCTGCCTCTCTCTCTCTCTCTCTCTGTCTCTCATGAATAAATAAATAAAATCTTTAAAAAAAAAATAAAATAAAAATAAATAAAAATAACATGTATTTTGTGCTCGTGCAGAATTAAATCTTACATAACTAAACAAAGTTGGGTTTTTTTTTTTCTCCTGACGAAATACCAGCAACCTCTTTCTTAAAAAATAAACTAAGACTATTGCCTAAAAACCCCAGCAAGAGAAAGCATAACTCCACAGAAAGAGGCCTCCCACACAATAATTAAAATAATAATTAAATACTAGAAAAAGACAGAGGTATTTCCTCCTTTAAAAATCAAAAGAAAACATAAAATAAAATAAAATAAATTTTCTGTGAAAATTGCCCCAGTCACCTTTAAAAGCCCTTCCCAAATTCCAAACGGCTCCGTTATGAGCGATTCTTAGTGCGTGAGGTAGGCATTAAAGAATAAATCTTTTAAGTGATTCAAAACAAGGACTCTTCAGTAAATAGTTGAAATTACAGGGGGGAGTTAGAGTCATCTGGTTTCCATTAGGATGATAAAATAGTTCACTTGAAACCTTTTACAAGATGCTCTGTTACTGGGAGGTGTCTGCGCATGTCACTCCATCACCGGCCATTTGACACAACATAAAAGGTTTCAAAAGCCATGTAAGGCCTCTTAATCAAAAACTAATTGTAATAGATATTGGGGAGTGTTAACACGGTGACCGCTAGGTTGTAGCTGCGGTATGGAAGCGGCAGCGAACATTAAACACAACCCCGACCTGATAGGGCTTATCTCAGTTTCAGAGCTAAGTGCTGAGTACTACAGGCCAGTATCTCCTTGCTATTACTTTGTACCACTTTTGGAGTTAATTGCCCCATAAGGCTTCATCTTCTTAATGAAATTTATAGCATTGTCAGAGAACTTGGTAGATACTACTGCAGTTTAGGAGACTTTACAGAAAACAGAGACATAAACAGAGAGGAAAAGAAAATACGGACTTGAGCCCTGATGCATCTGCAGCCTTCACCAAGGGAGAGACTCCCCAGGCCCCACTGAGGTGTTTGCAACATGTTAACCCTTTCAAGCCCGCAATGGAATGTTCCAACCGTGTGCTCTCCCGGAAAGTTAATAATTAGTAGCATAGGACCCATGGTAGGCATTCAATAAATACTTAAGGATCAGCCTTATAAGATTAGAAGCTCCAGCAAGAGAGGAATGGGAGTCATGGGTTCTCTGGCCTCTGTGCCTAATGCAGAGTCTAAGATATGACTGGCACTCAGGAAAGGTTTTCTGAGTGACTGATGAATGAATAAATGATCTCACTGGAGAATAATCAGTTTATGATTTTCAGAGTGCTTTCATGTTTTATCCCCACAACCATCCACTTGACAGGCCTAGGGTTTCGTTAATGACTGATCTGAGCCTCAACCAGTGTGTTATAGCTCCCATTCCAGTCTTCTTGATTTCAGGTGGACTGGACAGATACTCCGTGGATAGCCCGTTAATGTAAATCGGGCTAAGGAGAATTTCAAGTTAAAGACCAAGTGTGATATTGGATCCTGGATTGGAGCCTAGAATAGAAAAAAAATGCACAGGAAAAACTGGGGAAATCTGATGAAGTCTGGAGTTTACTTAATAGTATTATATTTATTTTATACACACACACACCCCCACACACACACCGCTTTAGTTACTTTCTTAGTATCAGGGTTAGTATTGATATTAGGATTACGTATAGGGTTAACATTAAGGCAAGCTGGGTGAAGGGTGTAGAGGAATTCTCTATACTATCTTTGAATTCTATATCTCTTAGATTCTTTCAAAATAAAAAGGTCTTGAAAAGAGTAGTAACTCCGATTATCCAGATACAAAACCACATTACATAAGAGCATATGAAATGGAATGAAAAAATTGTTACCTTCTCCACTTGCAGATGGGTTTTCCAACTCATGCCTGCTCATTCTCTCCAGCTTCCTCCAGTCACAATTTCTTTTTTTTTTTTTCTTTTTAGAGAGAGAGTGCACATGGGTGCATGTGCGCTTGGCAGGAGTGGGGGTTGGGACAACAGGACAGGGAGAGGACAAGACAGAATCTCAAGCAGGGGCGCCTGGGTGGCTCAGTTGGTTAAGCGACTGCCTTCAGCTCAGGTCATGATCCTGGAGTCCCGGGATCGAGTCCCGCATCGGGCTCCCTGCTCGGCAGGGAGTCTGCTTCTCCCTCTGACCCTCCCCCCTCTCATGTGCTCTCTCTCTCTCTCATTCTCTCTCTCAAATAAATAAATAAAATCTTCAAAAAAAAAAAAAGAATCTCAAGCAGACTCCCTGTGGATCTCAAGACTAAGATCATGAGCCAAAATCAAGAATCAGTCGCTTAACTGAATGAGCCACCCAAGTGTCCCCAGTCACAATTTCATATGTAGTTCCACAAATCTCTACTCAAAGCTCTGCTTTTATATCTGTTGCATTTTACATTAGCTATTCATGCACAAATTCTTCCACTATACTTTGAACTCTCAGAGGAAAAGGACTGTGCCTTGTTTGTCCTTGTGCCCTCAGAGTTGTTCATCTGAAACCATTTGAGCATAGATCCACGGAAAGAAAAAAAAGTCTTAAACAGAAATTACCATGCTCTCAGCCCAAAGAGAATTAGAAGATTGGTTTGACTGCCTTTAGTGCCCAGAATAACAAAGGCCAATATGTGGTAGAGTTTATTTGTCTTCCACATCAGAGTGATTCAGAAAGTTCTGGTCCTCAAGATGGCCCAGCAACCCAGCTTCCTTCCATTTTCTTTTCCATCATGCCCTAGGGTGTTGCTTTTTGCCAGCCATTTAAAGATGGTTCACCACCCCCATGTCCGCATTTCAGCCTGCCTAAAATGGGAAGGGTGAAGTAGAGGGCCAGCAGCTTCCTTTTAAGGACACAGGAAGAACAGTTTCACAAAACGTCCATTCTTAGACTATAGGCCAGAAGTTAGCCAAATGGCTACACCTACTTGAAAGGACAGCTGGGAAACACAGTCCAGTTAAATGGCTTTAGGACCACAGATAGGAGGAAATTGGATATTGGGGGACGATTCTGAATCCCTGCCACAGTTATTTTATCTTATAGATATTTACCTAATAAGACATTGATTTTTTTTTCTTATAGAAGTTAATATTATAAAACATATTAGTATTTTGTATGACAGTAATACTCAGATATAATTTGTATACCTTAAATGTACCCCTTTTAGGGGCGCCTAGGTAGCGCTGTCAGTTAAACACCCGGCTCTTGGTTTCCGCTCAGGTCATGATCTCAGGGTCCTGGGATCAAGCCCCACATCAGGGTCCACACTCAGTCTGTTTGAGACTCTCTCCCTCTCCTTCTGCCCCTCCACCCCCCTCTTTCTCTCTAAAATAAATAAATAAATCTTTTTTAAAAATGTACCTTTAAAAAAATAAAACAGAATAATAAAAAATGTACCCTTTTAAAGTCTACAGTTCAGTGGTTTTTAGTATATTCACAGAGTTGTGCCATCATCACCTCTATGATTTCAGACCATTTTCATCACTCACCGTCTCCCCCTCTCCCCACCTTTATCAGCCATGAATCTAATATCTGTCTTTATGCATTTGCCCACTATGGATATTTCATATAAATGGAATCATACAATATGGGACATATGCGTGTGGCTTCTTTCCTTTCATACGACATTTGCATCTATGTTGCAACATGTATTAACACTTTATTCCTTTTTGTGATAATATTCCATTGTATGGATATACCACATTTTGTTTATCCAGTCATCCATGATGGACATCTGGTTTGCTTTCACTTTTTGACTATTATGATTAATGCTGTTAAGAATATTCCTGAAGTTTTTGTGTGGACAGGTTTTCCATTCTTCTGGGTATACATGTAAGCATGCTGGTTCTTATGGTAACTCTAACATTTTGAGAGACTGCCAAATTGTTTCCCAAAGGGGCTGTACCATTTCACGATTCTACTATGTACAAGGATTCCAATTTCTCGACATCCTTACCAACACATGCTATTTTCAACCTTTTTATATTTTAGCTATACTAGTGGGTAAGAAGTGGTTTTGATTTGTATTTGCTAAAGACTAATGATATCGACTATCTTTCCATGGGCTTATTGGCTATTTGTTTATCTTCTTTAGAGAAATGCCCGTTTAAACCCTCTGCTCCTTTTTAATTAGATTCTTAGTCTTTCTATTGTTCAGTTGTAAGAATACTTTGTATATTCTGGATATAAGTCCCTTATATATGATTTGAAAATATTTTCTTCCATTCTGTGGGTTGCATTTTCACTTTCTTGATGGTGATTTTTGAAGCATAAAAGCTTTTTTTAAAAATTTTAATAAAGTCTGATTTACCTGTATTTTCCTTTTGTTTTGGTTTCTGGTTTTTGGTGTCATATCCAGGAAACCATTGTCTAATTCAGTTTTGCGATTTGATCTCTTACCTTTAGGTCCATGATCCATCTTGAGTTAATTTTTGGATATGTTGTGGGGGAGGGGTCCAACTTCATTCTTGCATAGGTATTTCCAGTTATCCTAGGACCATTTTTTGAGAAGATTCTTCTTTGCTGCATTGAACCATCTTGGTAATCTTGCCAAAAATCATTTGACTGTACATGTGAGTATTTATTTCTAGATTTTCAATTCTATTCCATTGATCTAATTGTCTATCCTTATACCAGAACCACAGTCTTGATCAATGTACTTTATACTAAGTTTCAAATTGGGAAATGTGAGTGCTCCAACTTTGTTCCTTTTTAATAGCATTTGGCTATTTTGAGTCCCTTGCATTTCTGCTTAAATTTTAGGATCAGCTTGTAAATTAATTAAAAAAAAAGGGGGGGGAAGCTGGGATTCTGAATGGGACTGGTTGAATCTGTAGGCCATCCGGGGAAGTGTTGCAGTTTGAACAATATTTATTGTCTTCCAATCCATGAACATGGCATGTCTTTCCAAATATTTAGCTCTTCCTTAATTTCTTTCAAAGTGAGGTTTGGTAGTTTTTTAGCATATAAGTCTTGTACTTCTTTTGTTAAATTTTATTCCTAAATATTTTATTCTTTTTTATGCTATTAAGAATGAAATTGTTGGAGTGCCTGGGTGGCTCAGTCGGTTAAGCGTCTGCCTTCAGCTCAGGTCATGATCCCAGGGTCCTGGGATCAAGCCCCGCATTGGGCTCCCTGCTCAGTGGGAAGCCTGCTTCTCCTTCTCCCACTCCCCCTGCTTGTGTTCCCTTTCTCACTGTCTCTCTCTCTGTCAAATAAATAAATAAAATCTTTTTAAAAAAAAGAGCGAAATTGTTTTCTTAATTTCATTTTCAAAATATTCATTACTAGTGCATAGAAACACAATTGATTTTTGTATATTGCCCTTATATTTTGCAAAATTCACCTATTAGCTCTAATAACTTTTTAGTGGATTCCTTGTTAATTTCTATAAACAAGATCAGTCATCTTCAAATAGAAATAGTTTTATTCCCGACTATGGCTGTTAAATTGTCTATTCCACTCTTCAATTCTGTCAGGTTTTTTGTTTAATATATTTTGGGACTCTGTGTTGGAGGGGTAATACGTTTATCATTGTTAAGTCTTCCTGATGGACTGATACCATTTTTTTTTTATATAAAATGTCATTCTTTACATCTGGTAACAGTTTTTATCTTAAAGTCTATTTCATCTGAATTAGTATAGCCACCCCAGCAATCTTTCGATTGCTTACCTGGTATACATTTCCCTATCCTTTTACTTTCAAGCTATTTGTGTCTTTGCTCCTAGTGTGTCTTCCGTAGACAGCATATAGTGGGATCATGTT